CTATGTGGTCTCGACTACAACGCTGGTCTGAACTGACTCATCCGTCTCAAAAAACCTGGTTTTTGTTTGGCCACAATAGAACTGTTTTTGGTATTAACAAAGTAGCCCTTGGTGGTACTAAATCTTGATAACATACGATGCTTGGCCATATAGTAATCTTATAGAAAAGTTGAAAAAAGTGCCGACAAAATCGGTAATCCTTTAATTGCTAAAACTGTCCAATGAACAACACGTTAGAAACATACATTGTTTACTTTATATCATTTCGGTTGACATCGAGTGTATGACGCTTTATACCTTGAAAAAACTGACCGCTGCTTTTAGAAGGTGGTCAAAGGTTGAGAAATTTTAACTTGCGGTTTACAAAACCATTTTTTCCAACATACACATATGTCCTCTGCTTTAATTCATCTAGTCTTTTATACTAAGATTTTTTTCATTGGACAGCCGGCCTAATTATGCTTGTCGGACGTTGCCAAAAGATATGACTTTGACGGGTAAAAGTTTACAGAAAACCGAAGTATGTTTCTCTTTTCAGTTCACGCACAAATCTCACGATCGGCACAGAGTTGACATGGATTGGCCTGTTTTGGCCGGTTGATGGACGTGTCCTACAATCATGATCTATTGAAACTGGTTACAGATTTTATTCGCTCCGGTTAAATACCGTAGTGACCATTATAAAAAAACGTCAGTCGTTGGTAACCGAGGTAACTGAATTGCAATCAAGTTACGACCACAGTGGAAACCAGCGAAGCAAGCAAGTGCAATGGAGCACAATACATGTTTTATTACCACGGCAAATTATTCCTCAGAATCCCGAGCTCACTTGAATTCTGAGCTCCCTTCACTGAAATCGTGTGAAAATGTCAAAAATTCTGAAGAACCAAATTCTCGATCGACAGGGAAAATTCTACCATCAGTAGCTATTGCCCGACATGTTCAGCATCAGATCAGTTGAATCATTAGCAGGGATGGCTCCATTGTGTGGCTTGCTGAACCCTCGACAGCTTCGAATTATAGGGCACCATTATGCCCTCTCAAAGTGGGGCTTGGTTTATCGAGATGACACTGAACGGTATGCGCAAAAAATGCGCGCCATCTGTCATATTCCTGCATGGCACTCGAAATTTGGGTTCCGTGACTGTGTCATTCAAACTCTCTCGACAGGTTATAAAAAATTAAAGAAGACAAGAACTCAGGAAACAGACTGTTATCTACACACCATGCCATTAATAATGTTGAGTCGCTCTACGTGGCTAATTCGCCGCCTTTCCTCGAAACTGGGGCGAATTTATTTTTCCTTGGCCATCTACAATCATAGCAAGATTTCCGTTGATCAGCTGCTGCAGGTGAACGGCACGAGGGGGGAAATTACCGGAATGTCCAGCCCTTTTGGCACTGGTCGTCTTTGAAATCAGTACTTTGACCGGACGGAAACCCAAAGTGACACCGCAGCTGTGGTTCAGCTGTGCCTATAGTGCCTATCAGCGATAGACGCTGACCAGTGTACACGACGGATCTTCGTGTCACTGACGGGGGAAACTACCTCAGGGATGTACATTTCCTCCATACAAGGTGTCTGACAGACTTCGTGTACCATTACAACTGACTCTGTTAACCATGGTCAGAAAAAAACCGAGAATAATTTGGTGAAAAGAGATATATATACCCCAAAAGTCATTTAACATTAACGTCTTTCAATAAAACCAAGGATTTCTCAAAGCCCCCATAGCAAGGTAATTCGTAAGCCTCATGAAACCATTAGAGAAACGTTTTAGAGGTGGGAGGAAGTCCTCAGTGAAATTCTAGGCGAAGCCACTGAATGGTTAAGGACCCGTAAAACGCAGGGCAAGATTCAAACCTGGCCTTGCAGGGTGGAAACAACGAAGAAAGTGCACATGCGCCAACCTGGCTCGCCCAAAGGCCGGTTCATAGCGGTGAGGGGAATTGGCATAATGAAGATTTGCAGCAAAATGTGGCTCGAGTTGAAATTTGTTCAACTCTTACGAATCTTCGGCGCGACTCTGACGTCACCAATGCGCATTTGTGTTCGCTTTTGCGGCAAGTATGAACCTGCCTTAAGAATGTTGATAGAAATTTTTTCTTGACGACAGGCTTGGTTTCGTTGTTTATTGCTTTGGTTGTCATGATGAATCGTTACATGGGTGAAATCACTGTGGAGCTACGGACGGCTCCTGACGCAGGTCCATCGCAGTCCGCACGGGCTGAGTAGATCTGACAGCAAAGTGCGATGGCTTCATTGAATAGCTGCGTGGAATGCATTAACAGCAGAGTGGCTGAATTTGCATTAACGAAGATTCTTTCTCGTGAAACTCTATCTGCAGGTTGCTTTGGAATTTGATAAGAGTCCGTTCAAGTGGCCAAAGCTTGCCCTGTGGAGGTTGCTCTTTCAACCCGAACTTGGAAGGACACATTCACAACAAAATCTTTCGGGATTTGCTTAGAAGGACCATAGTTTGTTACAAAGATCAGGCCGTGTTGCAGTCACGACAAACACATGAAGTACTTTTCGACCCTGATTCATTTCAGATTTAGACCGATAAAATGACTTTACGAAAGACTACAAAATAGTGCTATCAATTCAAAGAGCATGTGACACACGGTCACCGAATTTGGACAAAAAATCCTGTTGCAGCCAAGACACCGATTTCAATTTTTAACAGAAGGAATGCAGATCGTGTCAAATAGCATGACATTTGGAACGATATTTCTCCAAATAAATGGGGCTCCATCAATTTTCTAAAAGCGCCATAATGGTTGAATATTTATCATGATTATACATCTAAGTGGTTTTCTCCCTCAAGTTTCATCACCTGTATTTCCTGAACAAACCAAATCGTTCTTGCGAAGACACAGGGAAAGATATCCCGTCTCTCGTTGCTCTTTGGTCTAACTTAGTGTTTGTCCCACGTGCGATGTTGTGGGAAATCAAGCACTCAGTATACACACTGCTTGTTTACTCAGAGACTGTTTTCGATAAGCACTGAAGCCTTTATTTGTCTTTTAAATGCAACACAATTTATCCAAACTGTGTAGCCCCTCCTTCAACGGTCGCGATTCTGTAAAAGTGGCGAACGACTTCTGTGGTTTTTAGGTCGGATGAGATTTTATTTGCTGGTGATGATTACGGATACACTAGTAATGTCTGCCTCCAAAACGAATGCAATTGGCAGTTCCCCCCCATGTTAATAAAACCTTCTCTGAATGCATTTTTGTTGCAAACCAAATTATGAAAACAAAAGGAGAAATACACCGTGCGTTAAGCTTTCTTGAAAGTACTATTTACTATTTGTGCAAAATAAATATGTTACAGCTTTCCATCGGTATGTCTTTTTTGAAATATGTGGGAAGAATTGTGTAATGTGTAATTTTTGGTGACAGTAAACGGCCTTCCCTCTTACGTGCTACCAAAATAATGATCGACTATTCTCAAATGTAAATGGCAACCAGCCCTTTTCCTACTCCCTACCATTTGGATTGGACGGCCAAAAACCTGCAGAAAGTCCGGCCTTTTCCTCCCTTGTTTGCTTTGTTAATCATTTGGTAAATATTTTCATTCACCTTTTGTAGTGACGACCATCCACAGTTTCGAGCAGCTTGTGGGTAAACCGTAGCAGATGAAAGATTTATTATTCTACCTGATAAACTGGTATTGAGTAGGTTAGATAGACAGTTACCCAGTACTCGAGCTACGCACTTTTGGACGTCCCTATTTTCCATTGATTGCGCACACTTTGATGTTTAGAAAAGTAAGTGTCGCTTGGACATTCGACCGCACGTATACATTCCCGATAATGGCCCTAGTGGTCTCATAGCGTACCATAATTAAACATCTCCTTTGCTGCACTGCCGGCTTATGCATTATTCAATGCAACGTCCCCAGACCTGAAGTGTCTGCGTTTATTGTTGGTACGTCTCGTTTCGTGCCGCGTTTTCCTGTCAAACATAAACCCCAAACAGAAGCAGTCAAGAGCGACGACAGCTAAAACAGAAAAGAAAACAGAATGTTCCCGACTCAATAAAACCCTTCCCCGCACCGACTATTCTGTTTGTCCAGACTGATCACTTCACGGAAGGACAAGATAGACGCGGGGAGAGAGCAGCTTTATCACTTAGCAACGATAACAAATTCTTTCTCCTTACGAAAAAATAGCTTCCGATGTTACGGTCTTGCTATCATTTTGTTACCGGGGAAACGGTTTCAGACTTAGAGTTTAAAGATCAATTTACGTCGGCGGTTTGCATAGTGATAACGATTTTACGTTATCACACACTGCCCGTGCAAGGACTCGATAAGTGTTTAACTTGTCTTTGTCATATTGCTTGTTTGCCATTGCAACTTTTTTGTATAAAAAGAGCCTGAGTTCCAAGAGTGTGGTATCCGATTTGTTGCTTAAAAATCACCATCGGTACAGTACTTTTAGGAGTTTTTTCCGAAGTCACGAAAATTCTTCTTGTGGGCTCACACGGACCATAGAGCTGGGTTGTAGCTCTATGCACGGACTAACCATTACGTCAAATATTACCATATTAGGACAGGCTGTTACATCACACACTCAGCGTGTTCTGGTACAAGGTTAGAACAAAACCAACCCCTTCTTTATCCAAAATCCCGTGCTCATGCCGGCTTTTTTCATTCTCATATACTTGAAACGAGCATGGTACGTTATACAACTTGTTTGCCTGGCATAAACTAGGCCAAAACGCCACAATTTTCTTCAAATTTAACGCTGCATAGCTTAAGTCGGCAACCATTAATTTCTCTTCGCATGGGTAGAATTGAGCTTTTAGAATGTATAAATGGTGTTTGTATCATCTTTTTTTGCACAGCCAATCACAATTTTTGCGAACGGATTGGTGGGTGTTTTTTGCTCCATAGACTCCAGCGCTTTTTAAGGAAAGCATGCCTTGCCATGGAATATAGAAACACCGTATCATATTAAATGTTGAATTTTTTTCTGTTTTTAACTCAACAGCTATTCTCTTAGTTGCTGGTGTAGACATTGATAAATTCCCTACCACGCACAGCCACTTTATCCAAAACGAATTGGGAAGCAACAAGCGCATATGATCCCAGTGTCATTAAAATGGATAATATAACCACCTCTACGGATGGCAAGCCTCCAGAGGAATTTGTCTTCAGCTCGGCAGCCAAGATCGCATTGACCGTGGTCATCTCCGTGGTGTCAGCGATGGGATTATTCGGCAACGCCATGGTCGTATTCATCGTCATCCGCTACAAGGACATGCACACTGTCATCAACTACTCGTTCGCTAATCTAGCCCTGACTGACCTGACGATGCTGCTACTTGACGCTCTGCCCACTGCTGCCGATACCATGGATACCAACTTTTCGGCCAGCCTCGGTTGCAATATCCCGATTTATCTGCAATACGTAAGTTGGACCCAAACCTTTCCTGTCACATTATGCCGGTACTTTCATGTTTATTCTACTGATAGCTAACTTAAGTTTCTGAAGCTGAATCGGGGTGGGGGGGAGCAACAGCGTATGCATCTGTTGTCGAAAATGTGAGCAACCAGTGTAGTCCGTGTCAAATAGCAGATGATGCTGATATGAATGATTTGTGAAAAACACAGTCCGATGTAAATGACACTCATTATATCGGCCCTTTTAATGCAGCACACTATCGTCGTCAATAGGCCTACCAGAGAAAAGGTATTGCTCCGGGATAGCGAGCTCATCAAATCAGACCGCAATACGTTGCGTAATTAAAACCATAGACGTAAACCCAAATAGCCTTAAACTGACACCGCCTCCGGGTACGTGGTCACAACTGTCTACTGGAGCAGGCTTAACGAACACGAGTACTTACTAACATATTGATTTCATTGCTTCAATTATGGTATGCATCTTAATTGGTAGATTCCCTCGGGATGTTATTAATGATCCGAATTGCGTGTTTTGAATAAAAAGACATGTTGTTGGAACTTCTGTGTTGCGTTATTTATAGCTCGCGCTAGCGAGGGCTGTTATTGCACAGCTGAGCGATAATGCGATAGCGGAAAAGTGATGGATGCGCTGTATATTTTAGTTGACCGAGATAAGACCAAATAATATTATGTTTGCTTTATAAATACATGCTGTACAAAATAATGTGATTTTGAATATGTATTTGGATTATTGGTGAATGGGGGGAATCAAGTGGCTCAGGGTAAAAAGCAAACAATTTCTTCCTTGATAACAAAACTGGACGAAGATGACGGCTAGGTTCTGAGTTCAAAGCCTTACAATACATCCACTCACTGGGCTAACATTAGTCTAGACGCCACCGTTGATTTAGAGAAAGTGGCTGGCGGAGGATATTTGCTCTCGGAGAAGCGAAGTGTCATTGCCGCGCGCCGGAAGTGATTGCAAACAAAGCACCAGGCAGACAGAGCTTATTAAAGTCTGGAGTGAAGAACCACGAAGATAACAGTTTTCTTGTTCTATGGGTTGCGAGCCGACCGTGCGAGGGCGCAACTTTCCTAGCAACGGAGCTCCTTTGGTGGAAACTACATTTCGCTGGTTCACGAACGACTCTTAAATGCATACGTTGTTGTTGCGTTGCCACCACCAAATGAACACTTAATTCCCACCATCATGGCTCTTTTCAACCGACGAGGGGGTGCTTCTGCTCAAATAGCATGTCTTAACTCAGTTCTCTGCTAATTAAATCATCATCATTGCATCGTGGCTGTAAACATACCATTCTGCTATTCGAACTGTTAAAATTGCTATAAAATTAAACGTAGTAAAAAGTAATTCTTCCTAGAATTCAATGAGGCGCCGTAGGTCAACACCGAGGGCGAATGAAGAGCACTTACATTTCACTGGGGCGGGCTCACATTGTTCTTCCATTTTCATTTGCGAATTGTGTAAAGAAAATAAAATTTCAGTCTGGCTACTTTTGAGGTTGATAGGCCAGTTTCTGGCTCCTCCTCTATTTTAACTTCAGAAACAGGGTTGGCGACCCTACAGTCCTTCAGTATGAGCTCAGTGTTACCATGGTGTTGGACGTTTATGGCTGTCCCAGACGTCATGTTATTTTGTTTGCACCATGACGACCGTGATGGCCCTGTCGAAAAAACGGATTTCAGGAGTGACGGCTACCTCCATTGGCAGCATGTGCCCTTGAAACCGGTAAATTGGAACTAGCCCTATAGACACTGGATTCCAGGAATTCCATATCGGGAAAGTGTATGAAATGGTCACGTCCAAATTGGCCGTTATTAGGGTACGGCTGGCCGTCGACACCAACACACACTCGTGTACGCATAGTAGCCCTATACACAACGCCGTTTATTGCACAGTCTAGCCAAGGATCCTTCCGCTGGATGGAGCGCAGTTTTGACAAGAAGAATTAGGAATATTGTGTTCCCTCCGTATTTTCTTCCAGATCCCTGCCCAGTTACATTTGACGCAGTAAAGCGCAAGCTTGATAGGTTTCAGATACATCACACCCAAAAGATACGGCTGGATGCACCGAAACAGATTACAGAAGCATTTAAACGACAGATGCATTTTCCTGATGGATGGATCACTTGAACTGACAACAGAAATCCCACCATCTTGGTTGCATTTGCCGTCTGATTACCGTCATGCAGCTGCTAAAAGCATTATGTCTGGTTGATCCGCACACGATAAGTCCTTGATGCAACATGGTAGTTGTCTCTGGAGAAAGAACAAGCTTTTCGGCTGAATCGTAGGAAGGGACTTATTTTTCACCCGTCCCACGTAAGAGTTTATCTGCGAAGGACTTCCTCCTCATATTGCGTAGAGTTTAATTACATAGGGTGAAACATTAGCCGTGACACCTCACACGGTCAATTAACGCGCTGTTTAGCTTTGAGTGAGACCCTAAATTTCAGGCCAAAGCGTTCAGCTGTCACCCGAGATGGTGCTCTTCTGGAGGTTTTTTGGGATGTTGCGGGACTTCATACAAATCGAGGCTCCATTTTATGGTGATCTTGGATGTGGCAACATGACACGACATGACACGACATGAAATTCTAATATCTCAAATTATATTGTTTGCTTGTGAAGAAAACGGCATTGCGAAAGTGATTTTGCTCTCGTCAATTGGACATTTGGGTCTTACGACATCGCAATACGTACAGTATGCATATGTAGAGTAATGATTCGTTTGCAATCTAAAATCTGCCAGACATGGCTATATTAACCCAGGGTTAGCCTAAACCATTTTCGGCTTAAGGAGGTCATTCTAGGTCATAATTGCCATTGCAGGTCATTAAGGCATGAAAATTGTTCTTGTAGAACTCGGAAGGGTCTAGCTAATCTGGATTCAATTTGATCAGTTGGTGGAGACACGTCTTCGTTCTGATGTTGATGCTTACCATTCTTAATTTGTTTAATTTGTTGAAGACGCATCCAAAGGTAAACGAGACGTCAAGCATCGATATTGTGTTTGAGAAAGAATAATTATGCCCTTGCAAATATAAAGAAACAACGTGCCTTTCTTGAACTCATAACGCATTCAAACGCGAATTGCTAAAAACGAGCTTTTATCTGTTTGCAACAGCAGAACATGATGTCCATTCATATTTTCATATATTATAAATTAGAATGATTACGTTGCATCGGTTAAAAAAAGTTAAAACCCGTTGCCACAAGAAGGATACTTTTATTCACGTATTGCATTCGACTACGGTGGCCTCGTGACGGCGTTTTAAAGTAAAACCCTTCAATATCTATGCTCAATTTGCACATTCGACCTTTACAATTAGTACCCTGAATATTTCCCAGTTTTGCAATGTTGACGTTGACTCTTGTCAGTGTGTGAATATTCAGCGTTGTTAGAGTTAACATTCCATCCTTTCAATATCGACTATGAATTAAGCTTAATGTCAATGGTCCATCTTTATCTTCGCTATGTAAACCATGCCTCTTTGCAACGTGACTTTTGGACCTTGCTTGTACTTGATGTTAACCTCTTTAAACCAAGGTATCTTTGTTTGACTGTATGAGCCGCGAGCTGGATCAATAGTGGTCCTAGCAACGGACACTCCTTTGGTCGGAACTGCACTTCGCTAGATCCACGAACGAAAATACACTGGAGACGGGGGCTTCGTTTCCAGCAAAATGAACATTCCCGACTAACCTGGCTCTGTTCAACCGATGACATGCTTCTGCTTAAGGTGGATAGCCCACTAGAACTGATGAGCGTGCACGTCTAGAAATGCTAGAAGCCCATGTGCTGATTGCGATGGCAACCCTCGCTTTCTGTTACCACTGAGTGGGTACATGACGGATTATGCTCACGCACGAAGCCCATGGAAAGGATAATATTACTTCCTAACAGTCCAGACTTCTTCAAGCAAGCTGTGTCTTGAGTATTGGTACCTAGAAATAAAACTCTCCAGAAGCAGTGCTGGTTTCAACCCCAGCACTGAGAATTTATAACAATCCCGGCATGAAGTCATCTATGTTTTGCTACCTTTCCATCACGAGGTTAAATTGTAGACCTCACTTTTATCAGGCCAGAGCAAATTGAAGCAAAGCTGGGAAAACCACTCCCTTACTCCACAACGTTTCCGTCTCTCTACGAGTTTGATTGATGAGAAGCTTCTTGAACCTTTCACGGTCATCTTGGAGGCAGAGGCTGGCAAACTGTACGTCTCTTTTAATTTACATTGCCAGAGCAGAATCCGAAGCCTAGACTGCCTTGGGGCAATTGAAGATCCCCCAACTAAATGTTTATGAAAACACGTAAGCCGCCGAGGAAAAGAGATTGATGATTCGCGATTTACGTGTGGCTCGTAACTGGGTCTCGCCACCTCAATCAGCCGAATAAGATCAACTTCCCTCCGGATCCCCGATGATGAATTGTCTAGCGGTTGCCTGTGGATGGGGTGGGGGGGGGAGGCGGCTGAGCAATCAAACTTACTGGTCACGGGGGGAGGGGGTCAGGACAGTGCGCTGAATTCTTGGGCTATACGCCCCGGACTGCCGGTTCTCGTGCACTGCGCAGTAAATTACGGAAATGGCATACGTGGAGTTTGTTTTGAGTTGTTTGCCATCCTGTGGCGGTCGTGGACATTAATTTTATGGTCGCCTGGTGTATTATTGTTTGCACCCGTCGTCGACGGGATCTGACACGCGTTCATGAGTATGTTGGGAGTTCGTGATTAACATCCAGGTTTATTACTCCGTTTCTTATCATTTTTCATCTGGCTACCAACTGAGTGGTCAACTAAAATTCTGAACAAACATTTTGCAAAAAAAAATAAATAAATAAAATAATGGACACGGGAATGAAACGTCACGTAATATCTTTCGAGATGACTTAGGGCCTATCTTTGTCATTCCCTTTGGACTTGTTTCGGTGAAACACCGGTACCCTTTCGTAAGCCGGTTGAGACATTGTCCCATTTTTGTCTCAGTTCGTTGCTGCCTTGGGGGGCTGCCAACGGTCAGGCCTATCCATTCCTGGATGTCTTCTCACTTCTGTCTGTTTAGTGTCTGCTTTGTCCTCCTGGTACGGTGTCTCGCCGGATGCTCATGGCAAGTGTAGTTGATCTCGAGACGTGGCCGCAACACTTGACTTTATAGAGGCCTGCATTTTGCACTTAGCTGACAGAATTTAAAAAAAAGCACCGACCACTGTTTTTATTCTGTTTGTCGTGCCTCTTACGTTTGTTGAAAGCTTGTAATGTTGGTGCCACGGGTCACGTCATCATATTAAAACAGATGTGAGGATTGACTGTGAAGAGTCGACTATTTCGCGCCATGCATGTTGCTAATATGGTATTATATAAGAATCCCGTTAATAAGGAGCTGAATATTACCAAGAGCAATCGAACGTCGCCTGTTGAGTGAACAGTAACGTCTACACCTAACAATTCTCAAGAAGTAACCTCAGGACTCAACCACCATTTTGTTACAGGTTTCCGCTGAGGTGACGAGCCTGACTCTTGCCTTTCTCTCTTACGACCGCTACCGCCTTATACTCCACCCAATTCGAACCCTCCATCGGCGATCGCCCAAGGCTATGCTGAAGATATTCCTCGTTATATGGCTAGGTAAGACCCTGACGGGTAATAGTTTCGTTGTTTTGGTGGTCTATTCCACTGTATACCATAACCTCAATTTATGTGGTGATCGATTGCCCATTTTAGGCTGCAGACCAATGCCACTTTTTTTTAACAAGGTAAGGAAAAAAAAAGGGGGGAGGGAAAAACTTCCTTCTACCTACGTAAATATTAGCCAAAAACGTTTGAGTTAAAAGGCTTGTAAATACAATCCCACAATGTTCCTTTATTTTGTTCAACAGTGGGACTGTATACTTTCAGTGAATTACAACCGATATACATAATTTTGTTAAAACCCTAAAACGTACCGCTCTCTTTCTTTAGATAGAACAGGGAAATGATCCTAATAAATTTATCACTAACGATGTGAAAATGTTGACTGGAAATGAGCTGGGAGTGCTAATGTTTAAAAGCTGTTCACTCTGCCCGAGACAATCCAAGGTCCCTTTGTAGCATGCTAGGCCCGTTTTTTTTGCCCGTTCAAGCGTGGCAGACAGGAGCCAACCACTTCTTTTGCGCGCACCAATCCATCCCTTGGGTGGACTTAAGCAATTTACCGCAAAGTGTTTTTTCCCCCAAACGAGGAGCCTGTGTGTGGGGACAATATGTGAGACATTTGAAATGGTACATTGCCCGGTCTGCACGTTGAGGCCGTGTTCTGAACCTATAGGTTACTACGTTATGTGGCTATTTCTATTGTACAATGTATCATTCTGACACTTTACGATTACCATTTGGAATTATGAGCAACCTGCTCATGTACACGCTTTTGGAAGAAGGGGATATTGATCAGCCCCAAATTTTGCGTGTCAGTGTGATAAACGCTTTTTTTGGGGGGTCCTATTTTCCCCAAGATCCACCAATATATTTACTACCGGACTGTTTATTGCAACAAAGATAATTTAAGAAAATGAATCATTCTAGGAAGTGGAGCGATTTTTAATTGCTTCAGATTTTTTGTCGTAGCTAAGATGAGTAACATTGTCTATTTTCACTTCCCAATGCAGTGTCCTTCATACTCCAGATTCCCACTGCATTGGTTGCTGGTTTGACGACAGAGGGCGCATGCTCCGAATATAACGTTCCCTGGGGTCAGCAGTACTTCTTTTCCTACACTCTACTTTCCCTATACGTCGTTCCATCTAGTATCATCGTGATCTGTTACGTCAGTATGGGCCGGAAAATGTTCGCAGCAGGCCCGCCAAGTAGTATGAAGGCCCACAGGCGGAGGCGTAGTGTCGTCATGATCTTAACGGTCATCGTGTTGTTCGCCGTCTGCTGGGCGCCTGTCCATGCAGTTCACATGTGGTTGGCCTTCGACCCGGAAGTTACGCCTCGGCGCCCGCTCTACGTGGTGCTGCACACAGCCGCCAACGTGCTGATGTTTGTAAACAGCAGCGTTAACCCGTTTGTGTACGCCCTCATCGGCCAGTCATTCCGCAAGCACATCGAGGAGATGGCGATCTCCATAGCCAAGTGCCAGCCAAGGTTTGCTTTTCCGAACGAGAGGACTGAGAGTCATCAGCACCTGTACGGAGCGAACCACAGCGCGTCGGGAGTGCCGAGGATACTAGAGGATTCCTCAAGTTTCAGCAGATCCGAAAATGCGTGCAGGAGCATCTGCTCATCAACGTGGCTTTGAATTCAGTTGTCCCTAATAGCCTCACCCTTTTCTTAAGGGCATGATGCTAACTTTTTACCTCAGTGGGTCGCACAATTTTTCATCGCCTTTACTCCTCAACTAAACGCGTGTCACCCGTCACAATGATTCATACTTCGGTCTGAACCGGTAGCCCATTTGTGTCGATGACCAGAATTGCCTTATTGGACTCATGCGCCTTGGTTTACGAGAGACTGTAAGCATTTAAGATCAATCTTGACTAGTTGTTGACGAACTCTTTTAATCACAGCAGTCTCAAAATAAACGATGAGGAGAATCTTTCATACAGTGAAGCAACTTAATGAGCAAAACACAACTGCGTTTTTTGGTCAATGAATAATGTGAACTGTTTAAGTCAGACGACTAGCATCAACTTTAGGCTCTTATTTATTGAGGATTGTTCAATAGCACTGTAATACAAGAACATTTGATGGCAAAACCAGTGCAACAATTATCTAGGTTTTCCTGGCTAAAGTCGTGAAACCGAAAGCCTAACATAGAACGTTGGCCTCTTTGGCTTGATGTAAACTGCTGATTTTAAAAATCACTACATAATTTGCATAAATCGGTGTTTATCACTGTTCGGAGTGTTACATTGGCTTGAACGGGACATTACATTGAGTCCGTCGGACAGGTTAATATACAACCAAATGACATTTACACAAAAGGCTGCACGCGGGAAGCCACCTGCACATAGCATTGGCACCAGCGATACCACCATACTCTGCAGACGGGTGATTTGAATAAACAGAGCAACGTGGATTAATGTACAAGTGTATGGACATTGGCGTAGAAAGGTTTTATCTGGGTGGAGGCAAGACATTCTACCGGGGGGGGAGGATGTATTTTGGGGGGATGGGGTGGGGTGGGGGTGGGGTGGCGCAAGCGCCTCCATAGCCCCACAACCACGACACCATAAAGTAGAGGTAGGTGGGCTTGCCTCATTTATTAAACCGAGGGGCACTCAGTGGATTGGTTTTGCGCGATTATTGGGGAAATATAAAGCTCTGTTTTTCTCTAATTTTAGAGCGGGAAATTGTTAGGTACAACCCAAGGATTTTTAAGTTAGGGGTGCATACCAATAGCTTGCTGAATTCACTCATCTGTACCTCGTCCATAATGCCGATGCCTTGGGCGCAAAAAGGCTGACTGCATTCAGGGAAATGACAAAGTAGAAAAAACAGGGACTGAGATAACACCACATAATTGGCGAAACTGTAGGTGCAATGTAAACTTATGGTTATATGTTGTGAATGGTGAATTTGTGTCATTTTTTTTCTTTTTTGAAATAATCGGCAGGAAACTTAATTGGCTGAAAATGAAACGCGAAAATCCACTCTAAAAGTTACCTTTCGAATGTACTTGTCCCGAAATGATGTTTGTCTCGGGTCGTATTTAGAATGAATTCCTGTTAACATGTACATTTGAGAAGACAGATTTACTCTCACTGAAAGGGAGTGAATTGTCCTGATGGATCAGTGTCAGCTCTTTGTTTTAACGTGTCAAGCTTATGGAAGTCGTTCTATTGTGAAGTTGGCATTGTTTTTGAAAAAAAAATAATAATTAATATTTGATAACTAATTTCGTCTAATGCAGATAAATTACAATAGGGATGATTGTTGTTGCGTTGTAAAAGGAAATGAAAATTGTATATGAGTGGTCTCATAATTTGCATGTATGATGGTTAAGGTAAAGGGTCCAAACATAGAGAGATAGGGCAAGCGCTTTTCTGGGCTCTTGGCTACGCTTAAGTTTTTGTAGCCTTTCAGAACTTAATGGCTGAGCCTGAAACACTTGGCCCGGGTAGGAAATCCGCATCCCCCAGGAACAATAGAGGGCGTGCATTTTACGTATCAACGATGGGCCTTCGGCTGCATCTAGTCCGCATATTTTGTTGCACAGGGCTAGGTCTAGGTCGTCGCCCTATGGAAATACGCAGGGACGCGGTAACAATAGACGTAGTCGTAGCTCTGGATGCCCTTTTGAACACAGCATTTGATGGCAATCAAAAAGGCGCAAATTTTGGAGCACAAGGGATCATAAACGTCGTCATTATTTGGAAAGACAACTGTGTCAATAATGTTTTCCTGAAGTCTTAACCCACAATGTTCCACCTCACGTATGTTCACCCCTTCCACTTAGCTTGTGTGCATGCGCTAAAATTCGGCAAAGTCGTAGTCACTTTCTGTTGCTTGTTCAAATGGTGACGCTTGCCAGCAAACGACTCTACCAAAATCCATCTGCAGAGATCTTCTGCATTGTGTACAAGTTTGCTGAATTTAAACCAGAAATATATAATTAGGCTGCAGATTTCATTTTGTGATGTGTTTCTTGTTAATCATAAGTGACATTGGGGAGGAAATGTGGGAACATGTCTGTGTATATGTTACATTTCCGAACGTAAAAAAAGTATTTTTAACTCGAAAATTTGAATTGTTCTCCAGTTTTTTTCCACACATGCTGCACATCTTAATGATTAAAAGAGTGTTTGAAAAAGGTTACCATGTTATGTTTATTTAAGCTATAGCGAAAAGTCCTGTGTTAGTTTGATCAATTTCAATGTTGGCTCTCTTCGACCGGTTGGCCATGATTTATGTGTGCACATGTGTACGTTCATGTACATGTACATGTATTGTGCATGTACATGTACGCCACATGTACATGTACTAAATCAACGCACGTAAACGTATACAAGCACTACTACATGTACTTGCAAAATATTGTCGCAATAACTTGAAAATACTACCGATCTTTTTATCGGGTCTTAATACGGTACTTCACTTCATTTGTTTGGATAAACTGGAGAAGTTGTTTTAAAATCGCGCTATTTTTTAAAAAAAGTCACTTTTTCAAAATTTGTTTCCAATTTTGTGTAACTGGTTTCATATAATACGGTGGTTTAATGTTGTCTGATCAATTTTTAGTATGGTTATCTCTTCGTTTGTTTGTATTTTGTCAAAAATAAATTATGGTCTCCATCTGCGGAAAGAAGTATCGTTGACGATGTCCGACATCGTCTGCCTCAAAATCTTTGTGAAATCTTTATAATAAATCGACAAAGCCAGTAACAGATTGTAACTTTCGTGGGTCTTTTAATAATTTTGTTATTCCCCTTACTGTGTCTATCTCTCCAGTCGAGGATGATAAAGGTTGAAGCGAGTTTAAAGGGAATACTAAATTATTTGAAGGGTTTCTACAGTGTTTTTTTAAAACACAAATCTACCTTTGTGTCTCAGGTGACCTAATGCGCAGTTTTTGTTTCACTACTTCAAAGTGTACTTTGCTGCCTTTTTTGTTTTTATGCCAATGAGCTTGAGTATTTCCATATTCTTATGTAAAACTCTGATGTCATCCTGGGAAAAACTTTGGACAAATTCGATCAGCGACAAATTGTCAACCAATGGTCGATTTTAACTGGTAACCTATACATGAAATATATACCAGGGACCAGGCAAAATCGACCACTGGTTAACGAATTACCGCTGATTGAAGTTGCCCCTCAGTGTTACTTTGTTTTGTGCACAAAAAAGTGCTAAAATTTTTAAGAATTTGCTGGCTTAACTTTTCTTTTCTTGGATAATTCCGTGTTGTGTAAGTACATTGCAATGAGCAAGAAAAAACAACAACACTTTTTCTGAACTGTATTCAGTTAGTAAATTCTGGGTCACAATTTGAATACGAACACCAGTGTTCTGAACCGTGTATTCCCTGGATGACATCACATCAACAGTCCCCTCAGTTTTGAAGGAAAGCATAAAAGATTCAGTATGTTTAGGAAATTGCAAATCTCAACACACTGAACCTAATGGTTTTATACATTAATGGCGAGTATGAAGAACGAAGTATGCAGAACTGTCTCTCAGGAAAATTCGATGCTGGTACACTTTAAACAGAAAAGGTAATCAGGCAAACATCTGTGTAATGTATCTTGCCCGTGACTGGCTCTCAGACTACGGATGAGTTCTACCCTTGCTTAAATTTGTCGTGCGCGATTACTTCCAATATAGGCAGTTCAGTACAGCAAGTCCTTCCCGGAAGCAAACGCAACGGCAGATCTCATTATAATGCTGAGCGTTCTAACTGTCATCGTCGTGGCGGGACGCTGTTGACGCCACGGAGACGTTTTCCCTTTGAACTCTACTTCACGCGAAACATGCATAGAATCAGACGGAACAGATACCACCCTCAAAGCATCATTCGATTCCTTACAAGACATGTGGATCAAATTTATCTGAGATAGTCCAGGAGGGGTTGGCCAGGCACGTGTATGATTAACCAGGACATCAACCCTGGATAAGCTCCAACAATGTATCCACCCACTTGATTCAAACGTGTGGCGTCGAATCCATTGGACTGCGCCTGGAAACAACAGTCGCAGCTGGAGGCGAATGCGGCTGGTCGCACAGGTCCCATCCTTGGAGGAGCGCTTCCTTCATGCGTCTCATATCCCTACTACGCGAAGTGTCGACACTACCAGGCAGAATAGTCTCGTGAAGCCAATCGTCCGTTGCGGTGCACTCGTACAACTTATAGGAAGCCGTTTATCTCTATACAAGTTGCTTTTTCAAAATTCTTTGTGAGCAAGCTTCGCTGGCTGGATATTTGCGAAACCTCTACTAGTACCGAAAACAGGTAACTGCCGATTGTTTTTCCCCAGTTTACCACCTGTTTCAAACATTGTTGTTAACCATTAATTAATTTTATTTATTTATTTATTTATTTTATTTATCCAGGGTGAGCCAAATCAGTAAACATACTGGTTTCCATTCGGGCCCTGTGTTTTCAGTTAATTAAAAACAAAAGCACCATAAAAAAGACATTAAAAGTAGTAAAACTTAATTACAACATAAATTACAGAGAGCATAACATCGAGTAATATATTAATGAAAATAAAAATAGAGAGTAAGACATAAATATAAAAACATATGTGTATTATGTAAACAATTGTTGAACAAGCTCAGTTTTAAAAACTGGAAGAGACTCAATTTGTCTGAGAGTATTCGGTAGATCGTTCCACATTTTAGCCCCAGAAACAGCAAAGCTCGAGCGCAGGCTTTCCGTCTTGGCTAAGGGAACCCTCAGGGTAAGGTGATTATTTTGCCTCGTGCAGCTGTTAATACTTTTGAGAATAGATCTGCCCTATCGGTAAAACTTAACCATTTCAATTCATTGAACATATCAGTAGAAGCAGTTCGGTATGGACAACTAAGAATTTATCTGGTGGCTCTTTTCAACATTCTGTTGAGCAGCTCACAGTGTGCATGGTAACGGCTTGCCTTATAAGACTGTAAACAAAAAACAATGAGATTAATTTAGCTTTGAGTTGGGTTTGTTAATTTTGTACTAGGTTTTGCCTCGAATTATAGTATAATCACTCTGTATGCTCAGTGTGGTTCGAGAGTAGCGAAAAACAATCGCAGGCTTTTCTCGGTTGGGATCCAATCTCGCTGAAAATACCGCCAGTATAATACGTCGTAAAACATGGTGCAAAATTAAAATTCCTGACGGAAAGCTAAATTAGTATCACTGACTGCTTGTGGTGCCCGCTGCAGCGTTGGATTCGAGCCAGCCAGCCAATCCAGCTAATCTTGATGGTTTGAGTGGTTAAGACGTGTGGATGAAGCCTCAAGTGTGTATTCGAATTCAAGCTTAAGCTTATGTGCGTTTTCGCAACTCTCGAGAATTCTGAATATGCGTCGGTGTATTGAGGAGAAACCTGATATAAATGCATACGAATGACTTTGCCAACTGGACACAAATATGAGCTTTTTGTTATTGTGGGTATGAATCAGAAATAACCCTGGCTGTCGCAGATCCCAAGACCACTTTCTACATGTGGCATTACCGACTCCCTGCGATGAGTGTTCAGTTCCCGCAAGATCAGCACAATACAACCATTAATTAATGTGACAAGTCCCGCTCCTTGCCTTGTTTACTGTAGGGGCTCATTATTCTGCTGTTCTGCTTCAAAAACAGGATGTTTGTATCCGTGCAATCTCATTCGTTACAGTCCTTCCCCGTTTTTTTTAACTGCGTGTACATGAAACAGTGACGCTTTAGGTAGAAGGGCCTGTTTTGTGCATCAAGATATACATGTACATACTGGCACGAACTGTGAACTGGGAGTTTTTATAAAGAGGGAAGAAGCTAGCGAGAAAAAATCGGCATGGGCAGCGGGTTCTGGAAATGGTTTTGTGTAGGAAGCTGTGTAAACCACCAGGGAATAATAGCAGCACTTTCAGAGCTGCAGATGGAAGTTCCCCTCCGACATGGAAATGTCAGGTTTTTCTTGAGAAACGGGCTTTATTTTTAGCTAAGGTCGGTCAACTACTTATTATGTTGCTAGTGATTAATAATCAAGAAATTTATTAATAAATAGTTGTAAAAATATAATATGTTGAAAAATAAACAAAGAAAAAGATTAGTCCCATCAATGATTTGTTGGACTAATTAAGAAAGTTATCGGCAGCCACGTGACCGTGGTTCATTATTGACCCTTGATATCAAATCGTAGAGCTTCCTTGTCCATTAAAACTTCCCTTTTTAGTTCTCTAATTCATATTTTATTAGCCTCGTGGGAGGGTGGATGGGAAATATTTGAAATATCTTGGGTCAAAAAGTACACTTCTAAGGCATACACAAAGTCATACAAAGTTACGAATTAACTTTAATTTCCGTAATTTTTAAATTCGTTAAGTGAACAAACTCATGTCTATCAATGTAAAATATGAGTTCCCCTACGTGGCCAAAATTTATGCCCAACAAAAAACATCTTGATCCACTTGGGGTAAATAGAAGTTGTACAACAGGACTTAATCTGCAAAAATGTTTCAACAGTGGCCATCACAGTGATGCATATGCATGCGACGGTACCCCTTCCTCGTTACACGTCCATTTTTGACACAATTTAAAAATAAAACCAAATCTGTGAAGAAATCTGTGTTGTGTCTGTCTGCGGTTTTTTTAAAACCATTCTTCAGAAATCATATGTCAGTGGCAATACGAATACGGTTATGACCAGTGGCGTATCTGGGTATATTTTCCAAAAAACGACCGTTTATTTTTTCATCCGTAGCAGAATCTTTATCCTCCCAGAAAGCTGGTAGTGCCTTTTCTCGAATGCTGGTCCTTTCATTTTCCATAAAATGAATTTTTAAAAGAATGCTAACAGGACTCCAGTGGGACACCTTGTAATGAAGCGGAACGTGTCAACTTTTGGGACATTAACCCAAACCCTGGGCCAGTGGATGATACCCATGATGTGACTGGTAATAGGAACCATCACAGGGCACGACAGGTACTGCCTGCTCGTATTGAATCACTTGTAACCTGCTTTGTCAG